GCCGCCGCGGCAGTGACTTTGCCCAGGCTGGCGAGGCAAGCAGATCAGCCGCGGCCGTTGTTAACAGACAAGACCCCGGCGCTGCTCGGAGAGTGGCGGCAGGCACCGCGAAGCGGAGACAAGATGCTGGAACGGGGCCTTCATGGGCGGGCACGGAGGCAGGCCAAGATACATTAGACGGCATAAACAGATGAATCCTTGCGCACTGGAGAGTGGACACAGCTCCGTCCGCCGCGAAAGCGGCGAAAAGGGGCGAGCGGAAAGCACGGGGCCAGAGATGGGCATCGCGTTGACTCCGAGCGCGAGGCGGATGCAATGGCTGACCGCCTGGGGCGCGCGCATTGGCGCGTCCGCCAAGCACGGGTAGTCCACGGCCCAGCTTGGGGAAGCGAGCTCCCGGTGCACCTCGGCGCCATCGCCAGAGCACCACGTCGAAACTGCGCCCCGGGGCCCTTCAGAGGGCAAGTCCAGCGGGCCAGACGAGATCCTGGCATATTTCTGGCAGGCAATGAGCGGCGCGGCAGAGGAAGTGGCGCGGCTCGCAGAACGACGCAACGTGCGCTACTCTTCTGCGGGGGCACCGGCAGAATAGCACGCGGCAAAGTCGCGTCTCTATATGCGAAAAAAAAACGTCGAGGGCTGCGAAGAGGCAGGTCTGTCGGCATTCTGGTTACGAGCGGCGGGGACAGAGCGCCGCCTGACAGCCGCGAAATTCGGTTCCCGCGCCGGCAGGGGGGCGCGAGACGCGATCTTTGTCGCGCGGAGAAGGATTGGCCACGAGCGAGCTCGCACACGCGGCAGAGTCAGAATCGTGGCGCTAGAATGGAGAGCGCCTGATTCTGTCAATCCCGACGCCACGCGCCCGGCGCTCAGACGTTTTGGGCCCCCAGAGAAAATCCCGCTCATTATCGGGCGCATGTGCGCGGGCAACATTCTGAGCGAGCGGCTTCGATGGCTTTTCCTCGGAGCGCGCCCAGAGCTTTCAAATCTCGCAGGGGCGCCCACGTCCCCCGCGCCCCTTCGCGATGACGATGGCTCGGTGCTCCAGCGACTCCCAGGCAATGGCCTCCTGCGCCTCGCAGCTGCAGCTACGCGCAGACGGCGCGCTATTCCTGGGGGCAGACGACGAACGCTCGCAGGCGATTTGGGGCAGCATTGCATGCGCGGGGATGCAGTTTGGCACGGAAGTACACCGGTCGAAGTTCCAGCTTATATCCGTCGGCCGACAGCGCTTGCTTTGCACGCCCGGCGGCGACGAGATCCCCCCGTCGAGGAGGCGATGACTTACCTCGGGGCGCACTTGTGGGCGGGCGGAAGTGCCCGGAGTGAGTGGCGCCGCGTGATCGGACAGGCGTGTGGCGATTTCAGCATTTTGAGCAGATTCTGGAAGCTCGCTGCCATGGCCAGAAAGAGGAAGGTGGAAGTCTTCTGTTACATTGCTGTCAGTCGCATGCTTTGCGGCCTCAGCCCCGCCCGGCACGTCGCGAACATCCGGCGCCAAAGCGGATTTCATTACAGGTGTCTACGTGTCAATGTGAGAAATCCAAAAATCGTTCGCCCCCCACGTCTCGAACCAGAGAGTGCTCCAGGAGAAGGGGAAGCTACCTTTGGCCAGCGCGCTATAGTGCGGCAGCACCTGTTGCGGCGCGCGTTTTGCCGCGCGTCGTCGAGACCGGCGACAGCGAGATACGCGCGGCACGGAAGACCAAATATCGAAAGGACCGGCCAAGTACAACGACGTGCTGCTCGCGCGCCGGCAGATCCGAAAGACCCAGTGCGCGGCTTGCCACCATTGCATGCAGCGTTGCGTCCACGCGCCTCGGCGTCTGACTTTTGCTCTGGGTTGCTTTACTCCTTGAGCTTGTCGATCGAAGACTTGATCGCCTCCGTCCAGATTAATTGTATCTATCCCCTTCTCCAGCACCATGGATGACGATCATCTCGTCGATGAGCTCCGACAGCCTGCCAAGCTGTGCCTGGAGTCCGGCCGGGGCCTGCATGGGCACGGGCCTTCTTGCTCCAGGGGCCATCCGTCGTGCTGATTCCGATGTTTATCCGAGTTTTTCCTGTGCTTGTTGCAAAACGTCGTGAGCCTCCATGCTCTCCGCGGCCGCCTGCTGCGCGGCCCCCTCTGCACAGGCGACCCGCTGAGTGGCCTAGAGCACTTTTTTCAAGGCTTTGCAGATCTGGGGCGGCGAGCCCTTGTAGAGCCTTGGGCCCTTCATTCCCACACCTCGGAGGCGTCTCCTGCAGCGCAGTTTGTCACGCTGTCTCTGGGAAAGGCACGCACTGCCGATCTGGAATTTTGTCTTTCCCACGTTTCGCCTGAAGTTACTTTGTTTCTCGTCCAGCTGTGATGTTCCTCGGTTTTGGGGCCCTTCAGGCTTGGCCCCGTTTCCGTCGCTTCGATTCCCCTTGTTTATTTTGGTACCACGGTGCTCCATGCAGCCGTGCTCGACGTCTTCAGTCGCCCTGCAGGGCGAACGTATCCTGGTATTTGGCCGTTTGGTCGGGATCCCCCGCAGTTGGGGCAACGGTGTTTGTTCCCGCGGTTCCAGACATCGCGTTGCCTACAGCCCCAGGAGGCCATGGCTCGAGCTTGGGAGGCTGTTCCGATGAAAGATTCAAAAGGATAGCGATTCCAGTTTGGATCCGCGAACCCTCGGCCACGAAGTTTCGCGCGAGCAGAACACCTGACACGCCACAAACTCGAGCGAGGTTGGGTAGTTCAGGATCAGGCCCGTTGAGCCAAAATGGCGACTGTCCTCTTCCCTCTTCTTTTTCCTCCTCCCTCCTCCGTTTCCTTCTCCTCTTCCTCCTCCTTCCCTGGTGGTCACCCAGGCTTCGCTAGGAAGGAAACGAGCCCTAAGGCAGACGTGTCCTGAGATATGTATTATCCGTTTTGCGGGCTCTCGGGGCCTCCTGTGGACCTTGGGAGCGTCAAGCAATTGCTCAGGGTGAAAATCCAGTTTCCGGGGAATTTGGACGATCGAAGCGGGTACGGAAAAATTGGGTATACACACGTATCGACAGAATTTCCTGATCATATTGAAACGGACTCGCTGTCGGTGCCACCGCGGGCGCTGTCCATTTGAGACAGAAGGCCGCCTGCCCAACAGCGGCCTTTGTCGGTTTTGGACAAAATCGTTGCTGGTCATTGTGCTCATTTGTTCGTGCCCATGTCGGGCGTCCAAAGAAGAGGCCCCAGGGTCCAGGACACGCTTCCCACAGGACCCGTGTCTTTGATGCAGGGCTGTTCACGGGGAAGGCAGGAACGTAGAAGGGGTGCAGGAGAAGGGGACGAGGAAGGGAACGGGTGGGAGAGGCACGGGGGCAGGGGATGAAGTGGGAGAGGGAAAGGGAGGGGGAGAGGGAGAGGGAAGGGGTGGGGAAGTGTCCGAGTGGGGCTGGGGATGGACTGGGAGGGACAAAAGAAGAGCGAGGGTGGGAGAGGGAGGGGCCGACGTCGCTGGCGCGTCGCCAACGCGGCCCGTCCAAGATACGGGCGGGGAGGGTTCCAGCAGGCTCGTAAATCTGGTGGATTGTGGAATCGCCGGCGCTCTAGAGAGGGCAAGATCGCACGCTGGCAGTCAGAGCTCCGGAGAGATCGGGAATCGGTGGCATTCAGTACCGCCCCGATCGTCTTTCCGCTGCTTGGCCTGCAGCTCAAAAACCCACGCTTCTGCCGTGCGATGCCGTGCGCATCTGTCTGTGTCGTGTGATTGTGACGTGAATGCCGCACAGTGCTTGAGTCAGGCCGTGCCATCACATGAGTTGCGCTGTGTTTTGGACTTCTTGTCTGTGCGCATGTGCAGTGTTTGCGTGCAGTGTCTTCGCACCATGTGTCTTCGAGTTTGGTCTGCGCTCGGCATCCCTGCCACTCATGAGCCTTGGCGCACTCTGCGGTTCAGCTGTTTCGGGTATTCTGGTAAGCTGTTTGATGCTTATGTGCGTCCGCTTCGCTGCGATGCATCGGCCGGGGACTCTGCGGTGGTCTGGCCGCGCGTGACAGCCCCTGGTTCGTTGCGCCGATATGGGGGCCCGCATCTTCAGTCTTCTGTTCCTCAAGACTTTTGTTGCATGCCACACCCTCTCCGCCCCAGTCAGATCCTCGCCCACCCCTGGTTTTAGGCATACAGCCAACCCGCATAGTAAGGATGAGCGACCTTCCAAGGTTACCCTTGCATCCCTCCCCTTCGGCCCAGCCTTGGCCGCTTTCGCTGGCCGCGCCCCGCTCGCAAAGTGTCGACATGGCCTTCCAACGCCCCCCGCATCCTCTTTCGTGCGCCCTTACTACACGAGACCTCGGACCCCCCCCAGACCCCTTCGCGTGGTGAAAAAAATACGACGGGAGGCTTCTCGCTACTTTCGGCTCCCGGGGGCCCTCGCCGGGCCCCGGGATCGTACAAAACGACTGAGGATGAAAAGCCGGTGCCGGGGAAGGGGTCCAGACCTCCAGGGGTGCCGGGGAAGGGGGAGGGGTCAACGGAGGAGGAGGAGGAGGAGGAGGAGGAGGGAGGAGGAGGAGGAGGAGGGAGGAGGAGGAGGAGGAGGAGGAGGAGGAGGAGGAGGGGGAGGAGGAGGAGGAGGAGGAGGAGGAGGAGGAGGAGGAGGAGGAGGAGGAGGAGGAGGAGGAGGAGGAGGAGGAGGAGGAGGAGGAGGAGGAGGAGGAGGAGGAGGAGGAGGAGGAGGAGGAGGAGGAGGAGGAGGGGGAGGAGGAGGAGGAGGAGGAGGAGGAGGAGGAGGAGGAGGAGGCAGGCGGGCGGGCGCGGCAGTGTGCCGCCCTGGCGCCCCCAGATTGGGCGGCCGCGGCCGCGGCCGCGGCAGGGGCGGCGGCTCCGCGGTGGGGGGGGGGGCGCTGCCCGCGCGGCGCCATCGGGGAGGAGGGAGGAGGGGAGGAGGGAGGGAGGGAGGAAGGGAGGGGAGGAGGAGGAGGAGGAGGAGGAGGAGGAGGAGGAGGAGGAGGAGGAGGAGGAGGAGGAGGAGGAGGAGCCCCGCAGACTGCCCCGCCGGGGTCAAGAGCGAGCTCGACGAGGCCACCGGCTGCAAGGCCCTCGGGCGGCGGGCCTTCGCGTCGTCCGGTCGAGCTCGTCGGGCCGCTGCGGGGCCGAGGGCGCGCGCGCTGCCGACAGGCGCGGTGCACAGCTGCGCCCAAGGGATCAAAGTGATCAAAAATACACCAAACATGCCCCGAGAAGGTCGAACACGATTCAAATAATAGTCCCCACATTATGTTTGGATCATGTTTGGGGCACTTGTTATTTTTCGTCGAAAATCCCCTTGTAGGAGGACAGGCCCGACTTAAATCCAGATCTTCATGGCAGATGATCAGGAGGAAAAGAAACACACAGACACAATGAATCGTCCACTCCCAGGAAGATATGGGAAAATATGGGAAGTGGGGGGGAAGACAAAAACTCAGAACATATGTGAAAATGTGGGGAATCATTTTATTTGTGTGTATTTATTTGTGTGTTTGTGGGCCTCTTCAGATCAAAGCAACCAGTAACCAGTCCACTCACATGGTCACGATTGACAGCCGAGAACCAGCCGACATGTGGGGGGGGGTCGCGAGGGTTGTAGATGGTGGGTGGATGGTGGCGCTTTTGTTATGCTTATTGTGTCGGGGGGGGTATGACGTGGGTTGTTGGTTTGGGGGCGTGGGTTTGGAGGCTCGCGAGTTGCCGGTGGGTCTTCGGGACGGGCGGGAGCAGTCGGCCGCAGGTCACGGCGAGGCAGAGGAGGTGCAGCAGGAGCAGGAGGAGGGCGAGGGAGCAGGGTAGGAGGAGGAGGGAGGGGGAGCAGGGCAGGGGGGGAAAGGAGAGGAAGGGGGGAGGGCGAGGGAGGATCAGGAGGGGAGAAAACCCACAGACACAATGAATCGTCGACTCCCCAGAAAATGTGGGAAAATATGGGAAGTGGGGTGGAAGACAGAAACCCAGAAAATATGCGAACATATGGGGAATCCTTTTACTTGTGTGTATTTATTTGTGTGTCCCAGGGCCCCTTCAGAGGAGGAGGCTGCAGCGAGGAAGGGAGGGAGGGGGGAGGGAGGGTGGGGAGGAAAAGGAGGACGAGGAGAAGGAGGAGAGGCTGGAGGAGAGTTGTCTTGTGGGTCCCCAGTGTGCGCCGAACGCGCCAGCTGTCGGAGGCAATAAAAGAGGCAAGCGAGAGCGCTAGAGCTCACTCAGGTGCGCGTCTGCGCGGAGTCTCTGCTTGAGGGCGCTCTGGGAACGAATAGGTCAACGTTTGAACGAATTCGTAGATACCGCCAACCCGCACAGCAAGGATGGGCAACCTTCCGAAGGGTATCCTTGCATCCTTGCCTCCTCGGTCCGTCCGTGGCCATTTTCGTTGGCCGCGCCCCGTTCGAAAAGCTTCGACATGTGTTTCCAAGGCCCTTGCATCCTTATCGCGCATCCTTCCCAATACGGACTGACGGCGCACGACTGCGCAGTATGCAAGTTCCCTGCGTTTTTCCCCAAACAGCTTGCTGAACGGGGTGCTGTTGTGATAGAAGCTAACTCCGGCCGAGGGAAAGCTAAGCAGAGACATCCTCAAACAAATGTGGTGGTCCGGCCCGTTTCGCCTGAGACATCCTCACAACTCTCGTTTCTGAGTTGTCCGGGATTGAGCGTTTCGCCTGAGACATCCTCCTAAATCTGAGCTCTGAGAGGCCGCGCGAGAGGTGGTCTGGCCCGTTTCGCTTGAGACATCCTCGAAACTCTGAGCCCCGAGGTGCCGTGCGAGAGGTGGTCCGGGCCGTTTCGCCTGAGACATCCTCGAAACTCTGAGCTCTGCGATGCCTTGCACGAGGTGGTCCGGCCCATTTCGCCTGAGACATCCTCGAAACTCTGACTTCGGAGATGCCGCGCGAGAGGTGGTCCGGCCCGTTTCGCCTGAGACATCTTCGAACTTCTGAGCTCTGAGATGCCCTGCGCGAGGTGGTCCGGCCCGTCTCGCCTGAGACATCCTTGCAACTCTGAGCTCTGAGATGCCGTGCGCAAGGTGGTCCGGTCTGTTTCGCACAAGACATTCTCGCAACTCTGAGCTCTCAGATGCTGCGCGAGAGGTGGTCCAGCCTGGGCGCCCAGAAGACCACATGTGACATATCCTCCATGGGACCCTGCGAGCCTCAGGAGGCCCCAGAGAGGTCCAGGAGGCCGCAGGACGCCCAGGACAGGCCCCAGGGGCCCCCAGGAGATTCCCAGGAGGCTCCCAGGAGGCCCCAGGAGGCCCTCTATCAGAACGTGTCAAGTTAATACACATCCGGTGTCGATTCGTTGATTTTTCCTGCTCTTGTGCCCCCCCCTCCATTTTGAGGTGCCCAAGCGGCCACAGTTTAAGCTCCAGGAGGTCCCCAGGAGGCCCCAGGAGGCACCAGGAGGCCGCAGGACGCCCAGGACAGGCCCCAGGGGTCCCAGGAGGCACCAGGAGGCCGCAGGATTCCCAGGAGGCTCCCAGGAGGCCCCAGGAGGCTGCCTATCAGAACGTGTCAAGTTAATACACATCCGGTGTCGATTCGCTGATTTTTCCTGCTCTTGTGCCCCCCCCCCTCCTCCATTTGGAGAGGCCCAAATGGCCACAGGTTAGATATCCCGGCTGGGAGCCCCAAGAGGCTTCAGGAAGCCCCAGGTGGGGTCCAGGAGGCCACAGGAGGCCCAGGAGGAAGCCCCAGGAGGTCACCAGGAGGTCCCAGGAGGCCCCAGGAGGCCCCCGCAACTCGGAGCTCTGAGACGCCGCGCTCGAGGTGGTCCGGCCCGTTTCGCCTGAGACTTCCTCGCAGCACGTTTCGCCCGAGACATCGTCGCAACTCTGGGGTCCGAGATGCCGCGCGCGAGGTGGTCCAGCCCGTTACGCTGGAGACATCCTCGCAACTCTAGGCTCCGAGATGCCGTTCGGGATGAAGAGGAGGTGGAGGAGGAGGAGGAGGAGGAGGAGGAGGAGGAGGAGATGGAAGGGAGAAGGAGGAGGCGGATGATGTGCATGAGGGAGCAGGCAGGAGGAGGGGGAGGCCCCAGAGAGCTCCAGGAGGCCGCAGGACGCCCAGGACAGGCCCCAGGGGTCCCCAGGAGATTCCTAGGAGGCTCCCAGGAGGCCCCAGGAGGCCGCCTATCAGAACGTGTGAAGTTAATACACATCCGGTGTCGATTCGTTGATTCTTCCTGCTCTTGTGCCCCCCCCTCTATTTGGAGAGGCCCAAACGGCCACAGGTCTGATATCCACCCTGGGAGCCCCAAGAGGCGTCAGGAAACCGCAGGTGGAGTTCAGGAGGCCACAGGAGGCCCAGGAGGAAGCCCCAGGAGGTCACCAGGAGGCCCCAGGAGGCCCCAGGAGGCCCACGCAACTCGGAGCTCTGAGACGCCGCGCTCGAGGTGGTCTGGCCCGTTTCGCCTGAGACTTCCTCGCAGCACGTTTCGCCCGAGACATCGTCGCAACTCTGGGGTCCGAGATGCCGCGCGCGAGGTGGTCCAGCCCGTTACGCTGGACACATCCTCACAACTCTACGCTCCGAGATGCCGTTCGGGATGAAGAGGAGGTCGAGGAGGAGGAAGAGGAGGAGGAGGAGGAGGAGGCATGTTTTAACATGCCATGCCAGCCCGCACTGGACGGGCACGCAATCGACCTTGGAAACCGCAGTGGGTCTAAAAACCCTGTTTGGGGATACTGCACTCCGGCTATATATTTTTTTTAGTAGGTGCGTCGAGGAGGTGGAGACGTGGAGAGCGTGAGGCAAGAGGGAAGGACGAGGAGGCAAGGGCGCCTGCGAGCGCCCTCCCGCGTGCGCGCCGCGCGCGCGCCCGACAGCTTAGCCTTAAGTCGGGCCTGTCCCTCTACAGGGGGGATGTTAAACAATAGTCCAAGCATCTAGTCAGGGGACGATGTTTTGACTCTGTTTGCCCATTTGTGTGGTGGGCATTTTTGAGTATTTATTGCATTGTTCGCCCAAAATCCCCCTGTAGGGGGGCACGCCCGACTTAAGCTTAGCCTGCCCGCGGGGCCCTCCTCGGCCTCGGCCGCGCCTCGCCGCAGGGCCCTAAGCGCAAGCTCGGCCCGAGCCCCCTGGGCTCGGCGCGAGCCAGCGCCACGGGCGCCCCCCGCGCCGCCCTCGCTTCCCCCCTCGTCGTGGTCGTCCCGTCTGTCGTGGCCGCGGCCCTGGGCCCGCCGCGGGATGGACGCGGCCGAGGATGGAGCCCGGCGCCGCCGGCCCCCGCGCCCTGCGGCCGCCCGGCGGGCGCAGTATCGCAGGGCCGAGGCGCGCGTGGCGGCAGCGCTGCTGCGAGGCGCCGCCGAGCTGGCTGGCCACCGCGGCCGACAGCCCACGCGGCTGGCGCGCGCCATGCAGCTGGCCATCGAGGAGGCCTTCGGGCATGCCACGGCTGGTGGGCCTGCGTCTCCTCACGGCCCTCGCGATGATGCCGTGCGAGAAGGCGATGCTGATCTTCCCGATCGTGGGCTACTTCGTGGTGTACACGGTGATCGGGATCCGCCTCTTCCCCCTCCTGGTGATGCTCATCCTCGGGCTGATGTCGGCGACGGAGGGTCCATCGAGGAGATTCGCGCGGAGGAGGTGGCGGAGTCTGCTGGGCAGGAGCCCCCCGCTGCCGTGCTGCCCGCGGCGCCTGCCCCAGATGCTCGTGTCCCTCGAGGTCCTGGTCCCAGCGCTGGCGGACTTTTCGGCACGAGGGTCACGGCTGACGATGTGAACGTTGCTCTGCGGACGGCTGCTGCTGGCGCGGCCGAGGCAGAGAGCGCTCCCACGTTCTCGGCGCAGCTGGCGGAGGCCTCGGGCGTCCCCGCTGGCGGCGGCCATGAGAGGGCAGTACTGTTCCAAATATTATCTGATACCTTCTTCAGCCTCCCGTTCCCGCGTCAAGTGACGGAGTCAAAACTGGGCCTAGCGGTACACGCCTATTTTGCGCCTGCTGACGGCCAGGCAGTGATCAGGGAATTCAAAGAGTTCCTTGGTTGGCACAGCACGCCACGGTAGAATCTGATCCATCGCGGCGCTGAGGGAGTGGATTCGGTGGTGTTCCTGCGTGTGGCAGGAGGCACAGCCTGGAGGATAGCGCTGTGCACGGTCCCAGGTGATGCTGCATACCTCTCAGGGAGTGGCCACGGTGGACTTCCCTCGTCTGGAGGGAGGCGCGGCTTGGAGGGTAGCGCGAGCAACGCGGCCCCAGGTGACGCCGCACACCTGCGCCTCGAGCCGTTCGCCAGCGGTGCGTGCTCGAGCATTGTTCTGTCTCTCTTTTCGGGCTACTCCCTCCCGTCTCGACTGCCTTGAGGCGCCGTCCCATCCCATCCCATCGCCGCAGGGCCCCAGGCGCCTCGGGCTCCGCGCGGCGGCCAAGTCGGGCTCGACGTCCTCGAAGACGAGCTTGGGCACCGTGGTCGCCGCTCCTCGCCTCCGCCCCCTGCTGCTCCTTGGAAAAACCAAGCCGGCTTTTTACATACATTTCGGCCCTTGGATGCCTTCGCTCGGGACCAGAAAAGTGTATCTGTCACTGTTTTTGGGGGGTTTTCGATCGCAGACGCTGAATTGAATTGCGACACGGCGCGCTCTTCGTTTCGCTGCCCGCTGCCGCCTTGGATTGCGCGAGCCAAGCGAGCGCGGCCATCGCAAGATGCTCCTGGGCTCCTCGAGAATGACGCGCGCGCTGTAGATGCATATTCATTTACCAATGGAAAGCGACGCGGCGCGCGATGCAACGGCTTTTCGGTTTATTCGAGCGGCCCCCGAACAGACATTGAGGCCGCATGTGCCTATATGGCCGCGGCTTGATCCCGTTCAATCGGCGCACATTTCAAGGCCGCCCGGCGATGTCGACGGGAATCTTCATGCCCAAACGAATATGTGCACCGTTAATCTCCGCAGGCCTCAGGCGCAGGAGTGCGCGCTGCCCCGGATCTCAGCGGCCCGACTGTGCGTGAAGCAGTTTGTCGGAGGTGGATAGACCTCCTACCCTGACACGTCGATTAGCGCATTGGCCGCTTTCGGTTCGCGAGAGGGCGTCGCGGCCGTCACTTTTGCGGGTCCAGGTCCGTCGGTTTGGGTCCTAGGCCGTTTCCACTAAAGGGAAGTTTACTAAAGGGAGGTTTGTCCACCGCCGACTCCGGAGGCAGCCCGTCAGAGGGGGGCCGACCGACATGCTGTCGGGCTCCGTGTCTGGTCCGCTTGGTCTGTCGCGTTGGTCCAGGCCGGTGTGTTCCGTGGGCCGCTTCCTCGGTTTCTGACGCCTCGGTGCTCGGTCTGAGCGCCAGAGTCCCAGAGGTCCAACGTATTGGAAAGATCAACACGGGTGTTTCTCGCCAGTTTCGGCCCCTAGGGGCCCTCGCCGGGCTTCGGGACCGTCAAAAACGACTCAGCATGAAAAGCATGTCCTGGGTAATGGGTCGAGACTTCTGGAGACCGCGCATTGAAACAATCACGACGATCTCTGGCTTTCTGACGCTTCGGTGTTCGGTCTGGGCGCCAGGGTGTCTGACGCACCGCTGTCGCGGCGCCCTGCAGTCGAGCTCGGCAGCCACTCGGATGCCCTGCGCGACGGGCGCGGGGTGGCCGTTGGCTGGCATGCCCGACGGGCAGCGAGCCCATGACGGCACAGTTGGTTCGTGTTCGACGGTGAGCCTGGTCGGGGGGGAAAGGGGGGGGCGCGTCTTCTCAGAAGACTTGAGGGACTTTCAGAAGCCTAAGTCGGGCCTGTCCTTCTACAGGGGGGATATTCAAAAATTGGTAAAAGACAGCCAGGGGGCTATTTTTTGAGTCTGTTCGGGCATCTTTTGCGCATTTGTCCAGTATGTTCCCAACCCTCCTGCGTTGGGCACTTGTTTTGAATAGAGCACTGCGGTCTCCACCTTCCTTCCTTCCTTCCCGCCTCCTCCTCCTCTCTCCCCTCTTCCTCTCCTCTCTTGCTTCCCTTCTCCGCCTCTCTTCGCTCCTCCTCTTCTCTTCTCTTCTCTTGCCTTTTACGTCATCTCTGGGGGGCTGCGATCTGCGGAACTGTCGCCACTTTCGAGGGCTGCTGGTGGGTCCAGCGGAGCGAGGCACCACGGGGACTCAGATTAGACCTCGCCATGCCTGGGGGGGGGGCTGCGATCTTTGAAACTGTCGCCACTTTCGAGGGCTGCTGGTGGGTCCAGCGGAGTGAGGCACCACGGGGACTCAGATTAGACCTCGCCATCTCTGGGGGGGGCTGCGATCTTTGAAACTGTCGCCACTTTCGAGGGCTGCTGGTGGGTCCAGCGGAGTGAGGCACCACGGGGACTCAGATTAGACCTCGCCATCTCTGGGGGGCTGCGATCTGTGAAACTGTCGCCACTTTCGAGGGCTGCTGGTGGGTCCAGCGGAGTGAGGCACCACGGGGACTCAGATTAGACCTCGCCATCTCTGGGGGGCTGCGATCTGTGAAACTGTCGCCACTTTCGAGGGTTGCTGGTGGGTCCAGCGGAGTGAGGCACCACGGGGACTCAGATTAGACCTCGCCATCCCTGTGTGAAACTGTCGCCACTTTCGAGGCTGCTGGTGGGTCCAGCGGAGTGAGGCACCACGGGGACTCAGATTAGACCTCGCCACCCCTGGGCGGCTGCGATCTGTGAAACTGTCGCCACTTTCGAGGGCTGCTGGTGGGTGGCCAGCGGAGTGAGGCACCACGGGGACTCAGATTCCTGACCACGAGCAATGCTCGCGTGCCCTTGCTCTGCGGTTCGTGCCACGTGGCGCTGCGACTCGAGCTGGCGGTCGTCCTTCGGACCCGCAGAAACATCTGCTGAGCTCGATGAGCTAGGGGAACTACAGGAAAGAAGTGCAGGAAACGGAGGCCGGTCATGCACTCGCCGATACCTCGTTGCTCTGTCATCGTCTTTGCTGTTGCATGATCCTTATCTGGCCTGCCGGCGCCGCGGCTCGAGCTGGCGGTCGCCCTTCGGGCCCGCGGGAACATCTTCTGAGACAAGTGGACGCCGCCGCCTTACTTGCAGGCAGCGCATTGCATTCGCGGACAGCAGCATGGCAGACCGCAGTGAGATCCTCAGTCGCGTGGTGTTGCCAAGCCTGGTGGAGACGCGCGTGATCGACCTGAAGTCCCAATCGCGCGTGCACTGTACCTGCGTGGCGTTCAGGCACGCGCGTGATGCTGCTCGCTCCGCGTTCAACCAGTACGTCGCCAGTGCAACTTTGGACGATGGACAACCGATTGATGATACGCGACCCCGGCCTTGAGTTTCTTTCCCGCGGGCCGCCCGCAGACCTGGCGGCGCGCCTGCGAGCGTTCAGCTCCCGCGCTGAAATGTGCGGGAAGGAGGCGGAGAAGCTAGCGGGCGAGCTACGCCTCGCTCGTTCCTTGCACTCTAAACAAGTTTTATCATGTGGAACTCTGCGACGACATGGCGCAGGCAGCGCTGCGGGTTTAGCTCGCACTTGAAAAACGCGGCAGTCTTCTGTCTCCTCCCGCCACTTTCATCGTCGTCCTATTCCCCGCCTCACCTTCTCCATGCACGCTGCTGCTTCCGCGATGGCCTTTTCGCCCCCCCCCCCCCGCCCTCCATTCCATCCCCCCCTACCCCTCGTTCCCGCACCCGTTCTTCTTCGATCCTGGGGCCTCAAGCCTCGTTCTTTCGATCGTCGCCCTGTGAATCGTGCAGCGCATGCGCGTCCCATGTAGCTTGCACAGCAAATCGCCGCGTCTACACTGTCGTTGTTCCTGCTACTGTTGGCATACTCCTCTTGCCATTTGATGCACGTGGGTTGGGTGCGTCGCAGGGTAATTTTATTGTTCCCAACCCTCCTGCGTTGGGCACTCGTTTTGAATAGAGCACTGCGGTCTCCACCTTCCTTCCTTCCTTCCTTCCTTCCTTCCTTCCTTCCTTCCTTCCTTCCCGCCTCCTCCTCTCTTCTCTTGCTCTTGCCCCTGGAGGGCTGCGATCTGCGGAACTGTCACCACTTTCGAGGGCTGCTGGTGGGTCCAGCGGAGTGAGGCACCACGGGGACTCAGATTAGACCTCGCCATCCCTGGGGGGGGGGCTGCGATCTGTGAAACTGTCGCCACTTTCGAGGGCTGCTGGTGGGTCCAACGGAGTGAGGCACCACGGGGGCTCAGATTAGACTTCGCCATCTCTGGGGGGGCTGCGATCTGTGAAACTGTCGCCACTTTCGAGGGCTGCTGGTGGGTCCAGCGGAGTGAGGCACCACGGGGACTCAGATTAGACCTCGCCATCTGGGGGGCTGCGATCTGTGAAACTGTCGCCACTTTCGAGGGTTGCTGGTGGGTCCAGCGGAGTGAGGCACCACGGGGACTCAGATTAGACCTCGCCATCCCTGTGTGAAACTGTCGCCACTTTCGAGGCTGCTGGTGGGTCCAGCGGAGTGAGGCACCACGGGGACTCAGATTAGACCTCGCCACCCCTGGGCGGCTGCGATCTGTGAAACTGTCGCCACTTTCGAGGGCTGCTGGTGGGTGGCCAGCGGAGTGAGGCACCACGGGGACTCAGATTCTGACCACGAGCAATGCTCGCGCGCCCTTGCTCTGCGGTTCGTGCCACGTGGCGCCGCGGCTCGAGGCGGCGGTCGCCCTTCGGGCCCGCGGGGACATCTTCTGAGACAAGTGGACGCCGCCGCCTTACTTGCAGGCAGCGCATTGCATTCGCGGACAGCAGCATGGCAGACCGCAGTGAGATCCTCAGTCGCGTGGTGTTGCCAAGCCTGGTGGAGACGCGCGTGATCGACCTGAAGTCCCAATCGCGCGTGCACTGTACCTGCGTGGCGTTCAGGCACGCGCGTGATGCTGCTCGCTCCGCGTTCAACCAGTACGTCGCCAGTGCAACTTTGGACGATGGACAACCGATTGATGATACGCGACCCCGGCCTTGAGTTTCTTTCCCGCGGGCCGCCCGCAGACCTGGCGGCGCGCCTGCGAGCGTTCAGCTCCCGCGCTGAAATGCGCGGGAAGGAGGCGGAGAAGCTAGCGGGCGAGCTACGCCTCGCTCGTTCCTTGCACTAAACAAGTTTTATCATGTGGAACTCTGCGAAGACATGGCGCAGGCAACGCTGCGGGTTTAGCTCGCACTTGAAAAACGCGGCAGTCTTCTGTCTCCTCCCGCCACTTTCATCGTCGTCCTATTCCCCGCCTCACCTTCTCCATGCATGCTGCTGTTTCCGCGATGGCCTTTCGCCCCCCCCGCCCTCCATTCCATCCCTCTCCTACCCCTCGTTCCCGTACCCGTTCTTCTTCGATCCTGGGGCCTCAAGCCTCGCTCTTTCGATCGTCGCCTTGTGAATCGTGCAACGCATGCGCATCCCATGTAGCTTGCACAGCAAATCGCCGCGTCTACACCGTCGTTGTTCCTGCTAATGTTGGCATATTCCTCTTGCCATTTGATGCACGTGGGTTGGGTACGTCGCAGGGTAATTCGCCCCAAATCCCCCTGTAGGTTGACATGCCCGACCTAACAGAAGCCATCGCGCCCTCTGGCGGGCTCAAGGGATTTCAGAAGCCCTCGCGCCAACGGAGGACCCGGCCTCGTCTTCGGAGGCGGCCAGGGAATTTCTCGGAAGGCCAGGGGGCTCTCCGCGCCTTACCCCCTCGGGAGAGGCCCCCCCGCGACAGGAGGAGGGGGAGGAGGAGGAGGAGGAGGAGGAGGAGGAGGAGGAGGAGGACGAGAGACCGCAGGCGTGCACGACCTGCATGGACGGGCACTACAGCGACCCGGGGAACGCTTCGAGCTGCAGGTTCGCCCTGCTTCGGGGGCGGCCAAGAGGGGGGTGATGACTAGGGGTGGGTGGATTTCATGGCTTGGGCCATGATTTTTCCTCACATTTGATGGCGCCTCTTCTCATTTCATTACGTCCCTGGCCCCCCCCCCTGGGCCGCGCACATGCCGCCGGCCATGATTTGCACCCCCCCCTCTTGGACAACCCCCTCTTGGTCGCCCCCGACTGCTGCCTCGACCTGCTGGCGCCGCTGTTCTGCTGGCCCTGTGCTCGTGCTGCTGCTGCTGCTGCCGCTGCTGCTGCGGCTGCTGCGGCTGCTCCTCCAGCTTCCGAGGTTGTCGAGGGTTTCGAAGCTCGAGTCCTCGGGGTTCGAGGCTTTGAGGCTCGAGGTCGAGCCCCCCGGCCCGGGAACAAGAGGGACGATGCTGAGGACGATCGTGGCCGCGGCCGCGGCCAGACTTCGTTCGAGGTTCGAGGCTCAAAGTTCTCGGGCGTTTTCCTTGGTTCGCGGCGGTGTTCCAGCCGATCGGGGTGCTTTCCAGCAGCCGCGCCTCGCCAGGGACGCTCCGGGGGTGCCCGCATCGTCAGAAACTGCCGCCGGCGAGCTCCTCCAGCTCATGTCGGCGGCGGGCTTGGGGGGGGGGAGTCAGGGGGGGGCAGGCCTTCTCAGAAGGCCGCGAAGGCCCCGGGCTTTCTGAGAAGTTTCCTGAGCCCTCTCCGAAGGCAGGGGCGGTTTCTCAGAAGGCCGGAGGGCTTTGAGAATCGACGAGCGCGTTCCACTACTCGCAGCGTAACTACTCGCAAATGGTCTGGATCCCCCTCGGGGGATCTACGATAAATTACATCAAAGCAGACAGGTGTGTTTCGGACGTTTGCGAGCAGGCACTTTGTGAGTAGTGGAGGAACGCGCTCGGCGAGAGAAGCCCCGCCGTCTCCTGAGAAAGCCTGCCCCGTCTCGCTCTCTCCCTGGTCGCACTGCCGATTCTTCGAGGCAGCTCTGCCGAGGGGCATGGTGGCGGCGACCGTTCCGCTCCTCTTCGACGCGCCAGCGGCTCCTTCGAGCCTTGGGCTTCAGAGGGCGCGCTCGCATCCGGCCGCCCACCCGCCCCCTGCCCGCCCCAGCGATTGTTCCGCAGCTGGCGCGGCCCGGTCAACGCCGGGGTGACCTGGTTGCCACCGCTTGGAATGCGCGAGCCTTCTTTCGGAAGCTGGAACATATACATTACCAATGGCGGCTTGTTATCACAATCCCACGATTTTTTGAGGGTCGGGGACGACGTCGGGATGGTGTAGTGAATATTTTTCCTCCGTTTTCCAAGGGAAGCAACGAAAAATGTATACACCAGGATCCCGTATACACCAGGATCCGCGTTCCGGTGCGAATTTCAGCGCAGGGTCGGGAAAAGCGTCGGTGTATATAGAGTGCGTGTCCCTATTCCTCGCCTGCGAGGAGCACCGCCGCGGGCGGGAGACTGGCCGCGTGGAGACTTCGCTGGCCCGCAGCGACGCGGCGCTAACCGCGGAGGCCCGCGGCGCCGTTGGACACGGCGCTGCGTGGAGGCCCCCTTAATGGCGCTGCAGCACGGCGGCCGCCGGGTTCTGGGAAGGCTCCGAGGCCACTCGGACCTCGGAGCCTCTCGGAGGCATGCTCGAGGCCTTCCGGGGCCTCGTGGTGCGATCTGGGGGGCCATCGCGTGCTGCGGGAGGCCATCTTGGAGCCCTCCTGGGCGCTCGAGCCCTTCTCGTAGGGGGCCACAGGCGAACCCTACGCCTACCCCCCACGATTTCTGAGGGGGGGGTGGGGTTCACTTCGTTCGGGAGCTCCCGAGCCAAGTGAACCCCACCCTCCCCCTCAGAAATCGGGGGGGTAAGGGTAGGGTTCGCATGTGACCCCCTATCTCGGCCCCCCGTTCAAATCCAGGGTCGGGACTTCTCCTAACAGAGCGGGTAAACCCTTCAACCCTCCCAGGGCACACGATCGGCGCGCGGAACACCCATGAAGGCTCCAGTAAGCCTGAATATGGGCGGGGGCGGCATGGGCGCTCGTAAGTCAAGCACGAGAAAAAAGCAATTCAGTGCGATGATCAGAGGAGGAAAAGGCACCGATACCGCTACCCATCGCCCGTTTTTCGCCTTTTTCGGCCTCCTGGGAGGCCCTCGTTGTCACCGCTGGATTCGCCTCGAAATCCTGGTCAGAGCGCACTCCAAGAGGTCTGGGGAGCAGCGGTATCGGTACCTTTGGTTTCCCCCCATGGAGTAGGGCACGCTGTTGCGGTGAGGCATCCGGGGGTCACAACACGGCCCATCGAGAATATGGAGTGTCTCCAGGTTGGCTTGGAGACAACAAAGTCATAGAGAACCGATGCGTTCTACGATTTCGTATTGTTCCGCTTCTCCGTTTCCGACGGGTTCTTTAGGCCCTTGGACAGCCGCAGGAGGGCCCAGGAGCGGCGCCAGGAAGAGCCCAAGACGGCCTCCGAGGTGAGGTCCCCGAGAGGACCCCAAGACGGTGCCAGGAGGGACCCCGATCCCTCGAAGTTGCGTGAAGTCAACAAGGCCCAGCTAGCCTCGATAAGTCAAAATCATTGAAAAGCCATTGGTCTGTTCAATCATTTTGACAGTTTTGCTCTGCGGGACTGGCGTGCGCCCCGTTGCACCTTGCTTCTGCACAGCAAGACAAGGCGGGACGACCTCCAAGATGGGCTCGAAGATGAGAGAAGATGGCCCAAGGTGGTCCCAGAGGGCTTCGGTCAGGCGTCCAAGAAGCCTCCAGACCGCCACCAGACGGCTCCAGATGGCCGTGGGCCCATCCAGACGTGCCCCTGATATGGTACAATCATCCAAATCCAATTGTTTCTATGATATTGGCCTTGGTCGTTTTTTTCGTTCCCGATGGAGTCATGTGGCCTCAGGATGACGTCAAGATGGGCCAGGAAAGGACCTTGGAGGGCGAGGGGCTCAATACGGTCCCAGGGGCTTTCAGGAGGCTTTGAAGACGGCACTAAAAAAGCCCCAAGAGAGGCTCCAACCTTTCTGAATTGCCCAACGGCCAACAAGGGCCAGCATCCCAGTGCTCCTTTGGCCCCAAGACATCGCCAGAAGGGCTCCAGAGGCCGCATGAGGCGCCAAGAGAATTCCACCGGCCCTCTGGGCGTCGGTGGTTTAGGGCGTTTCCTCTTCCACCCTTCCCTCTTCCCCTTCGGGGAGGGGTTTACCCCTCCCCCTACCCCCTCCCCTGGACCTGGACGGGGGGGGCCGCGGGTGGTTAGAGCGTCCAAGATGGCCCAAGATGGCTCCATGAGGGCCCCAGAGCAGCCCAAGATAGCGTCGAAGATGGCTCACGATAGCGCGAGATGCCTCGATATAGCTCCGAAGATGCTCCAAGACCGCTCCAAGACGGGTCTCAGTGGCCACAAGAGCTCCCCAATGACGCCCCGACCAGGTCAAAATGCTTCAAAACCATAGGGGAAATCAATGTTTTTGGCGTTCTCGCTTTTGCGCTTCCGATGCCCATCTGAGGCCTCAACATCGCTCCAGGACGGCCCAACAGGGGTCCAATAAGGGACCAAGAGAGCCCCAAGACGGTCCCAAGAGCGCCCAAGAGCGCTCCAAGAACGTTCCAAGATGGGTCCAGGAGGCGATGTTGGGTGCTCCTGAGGGGGGGGCGTAAGTGAGGAACCCCTCTTCGTTGACCGATCTCCTCCAAAACGGCCCCAAGAAGCGCCCAGGAGGCCCCAAGATGGCCCCAAGATGGCCCCAAGAGGCCCCCAAGAGGCCCCCAGGAGGCCCCCAAGATGATCCTAAGCGGCCCCAAGAGGCCCCCCCGAGGCACCCAAGACCCCGAAGAGCCCTCCAGGATCGCCAAGAGACCCCCAAGACGTCCAAAGAGGCCACCAAGAATCGCCCAAGAGATACCCCAAGAGGCTCCGAGAGGCGTCCAAGAGACCTCTGGCCCTTGTGCTTGCCCTCCTCCTCCTGTTCCTCCTTCCTGCTCCTACCCCTTCTCTTCCTCCTCCTCCTCCTCCTCCGCCTCCTCCTCATCCTATTCATCCTCCTTCCCACTCCCTCATTCATCCATCCATCCATCCACCCCCTCCTTTTCTTCCTCACTCCTTTGCACGGTTCGGCCGTCCTCTTTGTTGCCGCACTTCCCTGATCACCTCAACTCGCCTGGACATCGTTTCTGGATGGGCTGGTGGGGATACGCGAAGCGTCTAGAATTCCCAATCGGCCCTGCAGAGCGCGCACAAGGCCCCCTAAGATCCACAAGAGTCCCAAGAGCCCCCTTCAACCCTCAAACCAAAGGCGCCTGGTCTGGGTCGGCAGGAGGAGGAGTAGGAGAGCTTGCGGTACACCCCTCCCCGGTAGGGGAAGAGGGGGAATGGAAGAACGACCTCGTTAAGCCACTTCTGCCCAGAGGGTTGGTGGGGTTCATCCACTTGTTCCCTTCTCCCATCCCTCGCTTCCTCAACCTTGCTCCAGCTCATTCCCCTGCTGATCTTGTACCTACCATATGCGTCGTCGTTGTCCTCCTCCTCCTCCTCCGCCTCCTCGTCCTCCTCCTCCTCCTCCTCCTCCTCCTCCTCCTCCTCCTCCTCTTCGTTCTTGTTCCGCTCATTGTGCTGGTCCTGCTTGTTCTGCTGCTCACGTGTCTCATCTTCACCCGCTTGTGTCTTCTTCTTCTTCTTCTTTTCCACCTTATCCCTCCTCATGTTTGGCTTCGTCGTCATCCTCGTGTTTCTCGTCCTCCGTTATTTCCTCTTGTTGCTGCTCCTACTCATCCTTTTCCTCGTGCTGATGCTCCTCCTCTTCCTCTTCCTCCTCCTCTTCCTGCTCTTTCCTTGCCCCCCTCATGGTCTCCCTCCCTGTGTCGCCTATATCCCCCTGCTCTCCGCCTCTTCCCCTCGCCTCACAGCCAGCTGTTCCTCCTCTGCCTCTTCCCTTTCAGCCTCTCCACGTCTCTTGCGTGATTCGACCACCTGCCCGCCCGCAGTTGCGCCGATCCGGGCTATCCGAGCTGCCTGCTGGCGTCCCGCACCATGGCACCCAGTGCAACCCCCCCCCCATGGGCGTGTCCAGACGTTGGACGTCAAATAAAGATAATGCGGCAGGACAACTATTCCTGACGATGTTTCTTTTCGCTGCGAAGGAGGACGTGGCGATTTAGGAACGAAGCGGGGATCAGGGGAGGAGAGAGGAGGGGAACTGGCTGTCACACTCACCGCCGAGACTGAGACGGTCGCCTTGGGCGACGCCGTTTGATTCCCCACATCCTGAGTGGGGTTCTTGTTTTCCCAGAACACCCTCTCCTTCCCACCCACCTCCCGCTCCATTTTCCATACAGCACAATATTATTCCTACCACACACACCATACCATACCATAGTTCCTACCACACATACCATACCATACCATACCATACCATACCATACCATACCACACCTCCAGGGAGGCCCCGCCTGAGCGAGGAAGGTATCCGAAAACCATACTATTTACATGGTTTCGTGCCCCTCCCACCCCTCCAGGGAGGCCCCGCCTGAGCGAGGAGGGTATCGGAATACCATACTATTTACATGGTTTCGTGCCCCTCCCACCCCTCCAGGGAGGCCCCGCCTGAGCGAGGAGGGTATCGGAATACCATACTATTTACATGGTTTCGTGCCCCTCCCACCCCTCCAGGGAGGCCCCGCCTGAGCGAGGAGGGTATCGGAATACCATACTATTTACATGGTTTCGTGCCCCTCCCACCCCTCCAGGGAGGCCCCGCCTGAGCGAGGAGGGTATCGGAATACCATACTATTTACATGGTTTCGTGCCCCTCCCACCCCTCCAGGGAGGCCCCGCCTGAGCGAGGAGGGTATCGGAATACCATACTATTTACATGGTTTCGTGCCCCTCCCACCCCTCCAGGGAGGCCCCGCCTGAGCGAGGAGGGTATCGGAATACCATACTATTTACATGGTTTCGTGCCCCTCCCACCCCTCCAGGGAGGCCCCGCCTGAGCGAGGAGGGTATCGGAATACCATACTATTTACATGGTTTCGTGCCCCTCCCACCCCTCCAGGGAGGCCCCGCCTGAGCGAGGAGGGTATCGGAATACCATACTATTTACATGGTTTCGTGCCCCTCCCACCCCTCCAGGGAGGCCCCGCCTGAGCGAGGAGGGTATCGGAATACCATACTATTTACATGGTTTCGTGCCCCTCCCACCCCTCCAGGGAGGCCCCGCCTGAGCGAGGAGGGTATCGGAATACCATACTATTTACATGGTTTCGTGCCCCTCCCACACCTCCAGGGAGGCCCCGCCTGAGCGAGGAGGGCATCAAGAAAATGGGTCCCACGAAACCGTTAATCTCTTTATGTGGGGAACTCCGTTAGCATAATTCTTTTTGCATGCAGCATTTGCGGAGGAAAACCGAGTAAAGCGGACGCGCGTCTGAATAGTCGGTCCTCCATGCAGCTCCGTTGTTGAGGCCTGCGACATGTGGTGATCCAGGGCGCCCGGAAGCACCGCGCTTACCCGAGGGCGCGCTGCAGATCGCCCCCTGCCGTCGTTTCCCCGGCCCCTCTGCACGATGCCGAGCAACTATCCTCCTCATCCAATCTCCCCCTTGATAGAGGCTCGCCGATTGCCGAGCTCTGCTCGGGGACCTCCCGCTCCTCCTGCTCCTCCTCCCTCCTCCTCCCTCCTCCACCTCGTCCTCCTCCTCCTCCTCCTGCTCCCCTCCTCCTCCTCCTCCACCTCTTCCTCCTCCTCCCCTCCTTCCTCTCATCCTCCTCCTCCTCCTCCTCATCATCATCATCATCATCATAATCATTCATCATCATCTCATTCATTATCATCATCATCCCTCCTCTCCTCCTCCCCTTCCTCCTACTCCTCCTCCTCCTCCTCCTCTCTCCTCCTCCTCATCATCATCATCATATCATCAGATCATCCTCATCATCATCATCATCATCATCATCATCATCATCATCATCTTCTTTTCGTCCTCTCCCTCCTCCTCTTCATCCTCTCTCACCTCCTCCTCCTCCTCCTCCTCCTCCTCCTCATCCTCCTCCTCATCATCATCATCATCATCATCCTCATCCATCATCATCATCATCATCATAATCATCATCTTCTTCTTCTTTCGTCCTCCTCCCTTTCCTCTCTTCATCCTTCTCCTCCCTCTCCTACTTCACCTCCTCCTCCTCCTCCTCCTCCTCCCCTCCCCTCTCCTCCTCAGCATCATTATCACCATAATCATCATCAGCATCATATCATCTTCTTTTCGGGCGCATCCCTTCCCTCCTCTTCATCCTTCTCTCCCCCTCCTCCTCCTACTCCTCCTCCTCCTCCTTCCTCCTCCTCCTCCTCCCTCATCCCATCATCATCATCATCATCATCATCATCTTTTTTCGTCCTCCTCCCTCCCTCCTCTTCATCCTTTCCTCCTTCCCTCCTCCTCCCTCCCTGCCTCCTCATCATCATCCTCAATCTCATCATCATCATCATCATCATCATCATCATCACATCATCATCATCATTCATCACATCATATCATCCTTGCATCGTCCTCTCCCTCCTCTCTTCCATCCTTCTCCTCCCTTCCTCCTCCTCCCTCATCCTGGTCATCTATCATCATAATCATCATCATCATCATCATCATCATCATCATCATCATCATCATCATCATCATCTTTCGTCCTCTCCCTCCTCCTCTTCATCCTTCTCCTCCCTCCTCCTCTCCTCCTCATCCTCCTCATCATTATATCATCACATCATCATCATCGAATCATCATCATCATCGTCATCATCATCATCATCATCAATCATCATTCATCATCATCATCATCATCATCATCATCTTTTCGTCCTCCTCCCTCCCTCCTCTTCATCTTCTCCTCCCCTCCTCCTAATCCTCTCCTCCTCCTCCTCATCCTCATCATCAGCATCATCATCATCATCCACTCTCCTCCTCCTCCCCTCCTCCTCCTCCTTCCTCCTCCGCCTCATCATCATCATTCATCATCCATTTCTTTTCGTCCTCTCCCTCCCCCTCTCATCCTTCTCCTCCTGCCTCCTCCTCCTCCTCCTTCCTCCTCCTCCTCTCCTCCTCCTCCTCCTCCTCCTCCTCCCTCCTTCCTCCTCCTCCTCCTCCTCCTCCTCCTCCTCCTCCTCCTCCTCCTCCTCCTCCTCGGACCCAGATCTCGGGAGGGTCGCGCGGCGCAGTCAGCTTCGCCCCCGGGCCCTTGGCGTGGCCCATGTGCCGACAGATCGGGAGGGTGGGCCCGGGACGCAGCCGGAGATACCGGGGGTCGGGACCCGCACCGTGGTGTGTCCCCACCGAGGAAAAACCCAGAGATCCGACGTATTGACAAAAATCAAGACGGAGGTTTTTCACACATTTCGGCCCCTCTGGGCGCTCGCCGGGCCTCGGGACCGTCAAAAAACGACTCAGGATGACAAACCGGTCCTGGGGAATGGGTCGGCACCCGCACTGTGGTGTGCCTCCACCGAGGGGGGGAAATGTCAAGCAGTGGCGAAGCGTCCTGGCTCGCCTATAGCCCCACCAAACAATGTTCTGAGAACCTCTTGTGGTCTCCACGAAATGTTATCATAACATTTCTGGTTGATATTTATTTAAAGGCTGCCGCCTCTGCCGCCGACCCCAAAGAAGGCTTTCGAGTTGTTCAGTGGCGTTTCTGGGTGGCTTTGGGCTTTTTGGTTCTCAGGAAGAACCGGAGCTTGCTCAAGTGAGCGCGAGCGCGATTAGCGTTGCATTGCATGTTTCTGCGTTCGCTGCTGTTGCTGCCTGTTTGTTTTCGCACTTCGAGTTTCGACACGCACCCTCTCGCGCGGTTCGTGCCCCGTAGGAGGTTCCATCCAAGAAGCTCCCAGAGGCTTTCAATGTGTCCCCAAGATGGTCCCGAATCGTCTCCAAGAGTCTTCCTTAGACATCGTAGCACATTTGGTTGATGTTTGTTTTCTTTTGTCGATTTTTGTTTTAGTTTGTAATTGTTTTAGTTTGCCGATTGTTGTTTTAGTTTGTAGGTTTTTGCGTTAGTTTGTCGATTTGTGTTTTAGTTCGTCGGTTGTTGTCGCCCCCTTGTCTAGGCACCGGGGAAAGGGGGCAGGGGGAGGCGATTCCGAAGTATGTCGTGAGGCCTGTTTGTGAACGTGGCGTCATTTAGAAGGGATTATGGCTTCGGGGGTGCGACTATTGAGTAATTTACGAGGGGTCGTGGTCTTTGAGACGCGAATCTTGAGCAATGTACGCGGGATTGTGGCCTCGGGGACGCCCCAGAGTCGCCCAAGAAGGCCCAGGAGGGCCTCAAGACAGCCCCAACACGGGCCCGAGAGGGGGAGCCCGAACCGCAAATTCGAGTTTGCCGCCCCAAAAAGCTCCCAAGAGGCCCCAAGAGGCTCCCAAGAGGCTTCCAAGAGGGCCGAAGAGGCCCCCAAGAGAGGCCCAAAAGAGGCCCAAAAGAGGCTCCCATACGGCCCCAAGGGGGTGTCCACATTGCTTCCAAGAGGCCCACGAGAAGCGCCCAAGGCGGCCTCGGAGGCCACCAAACGTGGCTCCGACACGGAACCCGAAGCCCCAGAGGGGTTCCAAGACGGCCCAAACAGGCCATGTATGCCATGGCTTTCGGCCTTGTCCGCCACCGTGAATCCGTGACCGGATTGCGCGTCTCCCGCCTCATGGATGTTCGTCGGCATGTCCTGAGAAGCTCTCGGCCCCCATGCAGAAGTTTGGAAGCCCTTTCCCGGGGCCGGCTTTTCAGCCTTCGAGTCGTTGTTTGACGGTCCCGGGGCCCAGGGAGGGCCCCCAGAGGCCAAAATATACCGAAGCCACCCGTCGAGTTTTTTCCGCGGCGCGAGGGGATCTGGGCCTCAGGACTCCTCCCGATGGCCCCCGCCGACGCCGGCCCCATTTCTGGATATTTGGGCGCCGCCTCCGGCGCCGGGAGGCGCTGGGAAAACTGGCTACGTGTAGCTGATTCGCCAAACCCCCCTTGCGTTCCCGCACATCCGATATCTTGACATTTTCAATGCGTGCCCCCTGGAGGTCTGGACTACTTCACCGGGGTTGGCTTTTCATTCCGAGTCGTTTTTTGACGGTCCCGGGGCCCGTCGAGGGCCTCTGGAGTCCGAACATCGCTACAAACTTCCTTCTTGTTTTTTTCCCTACCTAGGTTCTGCCTAGAAGGGTTCTTACTCTGTTAGCTTAAGGGGCCGGGCAGTGGAAAGCGCCCCGGGCGGTTCCCCCAGTCCCCGCCCCGCGGTTCCCCCAGTGGCGCCCCCCTGGGTTCACCCAGCTTAGTTTAGCTAAGCTAAGCCTAGCTTCGCTTATCTCATCCTAGCTAGCTTAGCTTGGCTTAGCTTAGCTTAGCTTAGCTTAGCTTGGCTTGGCTTAGCTTAGCTTAGCCTAGCCTAGCCTAACCTAGCTTAGCTTAGCTTACCTTAGCTTAGCTTAGCGCAGCGCAGCATAGCGCAGCGCAGCGCAGCATTAGCACAGCATAGCGCAGCATGGCATAGCATAGCATAGCCAAGCATAGCATAGCATAGCGTAGCATAGCTCATAATAGCCTAGCATAGCATAACATAGCGTAGCATAACATAGCGCAGCATAGCATATCATTGCTTAACATAACACAGCGCAGCATAGCATAAGCAAACACAAAAGCAAAGCACTATCAACAGCACACGCAACAGCAAAAGCAAAGGCAAAGGCAAACTCAAAGGCAAGAGCAACAGCAAAGGCAGTGCAAAGCAACAGCGGAACCAATGCGAAAGTGTAGATGTAAATGTAGATGTAGGTGTAGATGTGGATGTAGGTGTAGATGTAGATGTAGATGTAGATGAAGGTGTAGATGTAGGTGTAGATGTAGATGTGAGATTTTCGCTGTTGATGTAGATGTAGATGTAGATGCAGGTGTAGTTGTAAATGTAGCTGTCGTTGTAGATGTAGATGTTGCTTTCCTAAATGCTCCAACTCCTAGGTAGGGTCGCACTGGGATAATTTCCACCATTTTGGAGTATTGTTGGAGTATCTTTTATTCCCTACATAGGCTCTGCCTAGAATGGTTCTTACTCTCTAGCTTAAAGGGGCCGGGCAGTGGAAAGCGCCCCGGGCGGTTCCCCCAGTCCCCGCCTCGCGGTTCCCCCAGTCCCCTGAGAGCTTTAGCTTTAGCTGTAGCTTAGCTTTAGCTTAGCTGTAGCTTTGCTTCAGCTTCGCTTTAGCTTAGCTTTAGCTTAGCTTCAGCTTAGCGTCAGCCTAGCTTTAGCTTAGTTTTAGTTTGGCTTTAGCTTAGCGGCACCTTAGCTTTAGCTTAGCTTTAGCTTAGCTCTGCTTTAGTTTTAGCTTAGCTTTAGCTTAGCTTTAGCTTAGCTTCAGCTTAGCTTTAGCTTCGCTTTAGCTTAGCTTTAGCTTAGCTTTAGCTTAGCTGTACCTTAGCTGTACCTTAGCTTTAGCTTAGCTTTAGCTTAGCTTTAGCTTAGCCTTTACCGTAGCTTTAGCTTAGCTGTAGCTTAGCTTTAGCTTTTAGCTTAGTGTTAGCTTAGCTTTAGCTTAGCCTTTACCGTAGCTTTAGCTTAGCTTTAACTTAGCTGTAGCTTAGCCTTTACCGTAGCTTTAGCTTAGCTTTAGCTTAGCTTTAGCTTATCTGCACCTTAGCTTTAGCTCAGGTTTAGCTTAGCGGTAGTTTAGCCTTAGCTTAGCCTTAGCTTAGCTTTAGCTTAGCTTCATCTTAGTTTTAGCTTTCCTTGAGCTTAGCTTTAGCTTAGCTTTAGCTTAGCTTTAGCTCAGTTTTAACTCAGCTTTAGCTTAGCTTCTGGTTTAGTGTTCGTACTAATGCTGCTTTCCTAGGGGCTCCAACTCCTATGTAGGGTCGCACTGGGATAATTTGTCGTCGAAGATCCCCCTGCAGGGGGTTCGCATTCCTGCCCCGAGGGGCTCTTGGCTCGGGCCTGGGCGTCAGCCTGGCGGCCGTGTGGTCGTCGTTGCCGCCCCGTCGCCGCCTCGCCGCCGCGCGTCGTCCGGGCCTGGGCGGCCGTCTGGCGGCTCTGCGGTCGCCGTCGCCGCTTCGTCGCCGCCACACGCTGGTCACGAGTTTGGTTGTGCGAGCCTCGTAGACTGCACCGTGAAGGTTGCACCACCCAGATTGCTCTGCACTCAGCACAGATTGCGCCACGCAGCGTGCAGCACGCCTGTAGCACCACGTAGCTCACTATACATGCATGTTGTGCTACATCGCTTGCGCCGCACATTTTGGTTGCACCACAGAGATTGCAGCACATAACCTGGGGGGAGGAACAAGATCTGGTGGCAAGTTGCCTTGGCAAGGCAGGGGTTTGTCTCGCCCTCGCGCAGCTTCGCCTCGCCCGCGGGCGCGTCGCGCGCGACACGAACTGAAACCGACATCGACGTCCCGGTTGGGAGACTTCGTTCCACGTCGATCTCACCAGACAACTTCTGATCGGGAATGTTGTGAGTCTAAGGTTGAATGAGGTCGAGTATCGTTTGGTCTGAGTAGGCGCGCGTCTGAGTGCGGGTGGGTTCGAGTACGTGTGAGGCTGAGTATGGGTGGATATGTGGACGAGAGGGTCTCTGCCCGAGCCCCGTGGGCCCGCGGGCCGCAACATGGTCGCTGCAGGTGCGTACCATACTGTGCTGCTGAGGAGCGACGGGACGTCCGTGGCCTGCGGCCACAATAGCGACGGCCAGTGCGACGTCCCGGCGCTGGGTGGAGGAGGCCTGACTTACACGCAGGTCGCTGCGGGTGGCGATCACACCGTGCTGCTGAGGAGCGACGGGACGGCCCTGGCCTGCGGCCACAATTTCTACGGCCAGTGCGACGTCCCGGCGCTGGGTGGAGGAGGCGCTGAGTCCTGCTCCTCGTCCTCTTCCTATGGTCCCTTCGCTTCGTCCCTCTCTGGCCTCTAGCTCTCGGGCTTGAGGCCGCTGAGGTTGCGCCCCCCCCTCTCCGTCCGCGTCCTGTTTTGGCATTGAACATCCTTTCAAGCCCACAGGTACCCCGCAGAGCCCAGCATGACCCTCTGTAGCGCCCCGTGCAGCTCCTAGAAACGCCCTGCTGATGCTTTTTAATGTTTTCTCGGATGCGGGAATGCCTCTGGGACAGCTCAAAAGGGCTCTGAGGCTCCTACGAGCACCCACGAGAGCGCCAAGAAACCTCCGACAGGCCTCCAAGACCATCCAAAAGAGCTCCGTGGAAGCCCGAGAGAAGCGAACACGATTCAAAATCACTCTAAAATATATGATTTGGGCGGCCTCGCATGTTCGCCCCCGATGCGCTTCCGAGGCTTGCGCGCGACCTCCCTAAGGGGCGCTCCCAGATGTCCCCGAGAGGCGTCCCGAGCGCACCCGAGGGGCCTCCAGAGGCCACCGAGAGACCCCCACGCCCGGAGAAGCACCAGCGAGGCTCCGAGGACGCACCCAACGAGGCTCCGAAGAGCCCTCGGGAGGCTCCCAAAGTCGGGGGCGGCAAAGAGGGGGGTGATGACTAGGGGGGGGTGGATATCATGGCAAGGGCCATGATTTTTCCGCAGATTTCATGGCGCCTCTTCTTGTTTCATCACGTGCCTGGCCCTCCCGCTGGGCCGCGCACATGCCGCCGGTCATTATTTGCACCTCCCCTCTTGGACACCCCCCTTTTGGCCGCCCACGCCAAAGAAGCTCACGAAGGCGCGATGATCTTTAAGAAGCAGGGTCCCAGAGGCCCCAAAGAAGCTCCAAGAGGCCCCAAGAGTCGCCACCGAGAGGCTCCCAGAGTGCTTTCAAGACGCCAGGGTCTGACTCTCCGATTCGTTTCGGTCGCCGTTCCGTCTTTCGATTCGATTATGGCATGTGCTGCTTTCTTGCGAAGCTAGTTCGAGCGATCAAAAGCTAGTTGATGCCGATGTTTCAGAGGCTGCATCTGTGGAGCGAGCACTTTCTTGGTTCTGCTCTTGAGGCCGCCCACGGCCCCCTACGCTCACCCCGGGCGCGCTTGGCGCAGAAGTCCTGCGGTCCTCTTGGACGTTATTGTGGCTCTGTTGGGAACCGTATGTTGTGTAGATTCCTGTGTGTATGTGGTGTGTGCGTGGGTGTGTGCGTGTGTGTTGTGTGTGTGTTCGTGCGAAACCCTTCGTGCGAGGCCCCATAGGGAGTTCCACTGAAAGCGGTGCCCGCAATGCGGCACTTGCTGCTGCATATGGTTGGGTCTTTCGATAGGCTAATTTCCTGTGTTCCGTCGGCGTGAGTGGCTCAGAGCTTCAGACCGCCTGGAGGCGCGCTCGAGCTTGCACTCAAAGGGCCAGCGCAGCGTTTGTGATGAGCTGTGGAGCAGTCGCAGCTGACGACGGCGGCGAGGGAACTGTACATGAGGTGGTGACAGGGGCGTTTTCCCGGTACAACACGGGCATTGATGCCAGCAAGTTTGGCGACGAGCACGCTCGGAAATTTTATCAGTACCTTCACGAGCATGGTGAGCGAAGCCTAGGCAAAGAGTTGCCCGTCAAAAGACGCCTGGTTGCGAGACCCACTGTTCCTGGGAAGAAGACGGATACACTTTTAGTTCGGTCCGACAATTTTGACAGAATGTTGGTTATCTTTCGTTTCTTCATTAGAGCCCGGTGGTCTTTGTTCTTGCGGCGGAACAGTGGGCTGTATGTTCTGCCCGTGCTCTTTTTGTTCTCTCAGTACTTTTATGCAGCAGGCTGCGGCAAGCTCCGCCACCGTGCCAGCGAGGATGCGGGCCCTTGAGGCTGCCTTGAGGCCCTGTTGAAATCGTCAGACATCCTGCCAGACAGCATTTGGAACTGTAGCACGCTTCATCGTGCCAGGGTGGCGCGGCGGCGGACGAGGGCCCCGATCGCCTTTGTGACACCACAACATGGGCGTTTATCAAGTGTTATGAGGAGCTGCTTCTGATATGGGATACCTTGCCCGACGTGGCGGTGGTCGCCGAGTTCATGTTGTATAATGTTTTTACTGGTGCTCCGCAGCCTTACGGACCTGAGCTTACCGCCACGTTTCGAGGGTGCTACAATCAGAGGAACCGCGCGGATTTTCCGAAAATTTTGCAGGCTTGCCGGGAGGGTGGTGTATTTTTCCGTTTGGGAGAGCACATCACAAAAATCATGGATGCATCAACTTCGGTTCCCTGGCTGCTCGGGTCGATGGCGCAGATAGAGGCTGCGTTGCTTGGCGTCAAAGGAATTGGCGCTTTCAATGCGAAGGAGTTTTTGTGGCACATCATCTTGCTTCACGAGGCGCGTACTAACGCGCATTCACCTTTACGCGAGTATTTCGTTGGCAAGAGTTTGTTCGGCAACGGTGCCTGCGACGGGTTGCGTATATTCTATCCTCTTCTCACTGCCTCGCGCATTGATGATGCCGCTCGCGACTTGTACTCGGCATTAGAGGATCTGGGCATTTGGTTGCCCTGCATGCATTCGTTGCAGTGGAAGTTGTGCTTGTTTCAGAAATCGCTCAACGCGTGCTACACGAGGCCGGCGCCTGGGGACAGATCCATGGTGAAGGAGCCCAGCCGTGTCAAGATCTGGGCGCAGTTGCTTCGACATCCCCACTGGCCATCCCTCCGTCGAGAAATCCTCTCATATGGTTTGGGGAATGAGTTGTGTCATTTTGAACATTCGATTGAGGTCCTGCAGAATGTGCCCAGGCACTTGCCAGGCCATGTTACGTGTCGCACGTGCTTGGGTCTTTCAACGAAAAGCCACGGATCGTGGCAAGCTCACTATACGTGCTACCGGTTGATACAGGATGCACGCGCGACGAGCCGGCAGCGCCCTCTGACGCAGTTTTTTCGAGTGGCCCCTTCTGAGGCTCCAGTGTAAGGTCGCTGCAGCCGGGAACATCCCGCTGCCTTCGCCGCCAGCCTCCGGTTCCTGCTCCCGCCAGTTTTTCTCCTGTCGGGATCCTGCAACGGGTGCGTGTGCCCTGGGGTGGGTGTGAGCACGGTCCGTTGGCGCACCGAACCGCTCAGGACAAATGCCCCCGGTTGCCGGGAGCCCCCGATGGTTGCCGATAGCTGAGGCATGCGGGGGGCATTGGTTTTGGCCAGTTCGGTGCAACGGCCGATCGCAGGCTTACCCCGCCCTTCCGGAACCCCCCCCCGTGGTGAATCCCGATCTTGCCTTGCCCCCTCCCTCCTCCAGCAGGAGGGCGAGGGAGAAGGAGGAGGAGGAGAGGAGGAGGAGGAGGAGGAGGAGGAGGAGGAGGAGGAGGAGGAAGAGGAGGAGGAGGAGGAGGAGGATGAGGAGGAGGAGGGGGGAGGAAGAGGAGGTGGAGGAGGGAGGAGGGGGAGGTGGAGGAGGAAGGAGGAGGAAGAGTGGGAGGAGGAGGGGGCTCCACCGCCTGAGGAGGAGAGAAGTGCTCCCCGTGGCCCGTGCGACCCTTCCTGGCGCGGGCGGGGCGGCAGGTCCCAGGTGGTGATGCGGCGGGCTTCGGCCCCCGAGCCTTCCCCACCCCTACCTCGACTCAAGGGAGCTGCCAACGGGGGCTCTCGGGAACGGTTCAAACGGCCCCGACGCCGACGACGCCGACGCCGACGGCGCCGACGTCGAGGACGACGCAGACGGCGATCTCGACGCCGACGAGACCGACACCGACGCCGACGACGACGACGCCGACGACGCCGGCGCCGACGCCGCAGCCTGGCCTGAGGCGTCCGCGCGCGATGTGCGCCGGGTCCCATTCCTGCCACGCATTTTGCATCTTCGACGACTGGACAGGCCATGGGGAGAGGGAAAACGAAGACTTTGTATTGTTTTTAACAGTAAGGATGGGCGGGTCCGGGTTGACGGCCGCGCGCGATGTGCGCCGCGTCCTGTTCCTGCCACGCATTTCGTATCGTCGACGACAAGAAAGGCCATGTTGAGAGGAAAAATTGTCACTTTGTATTGATGTTTTTCAGTCCGGATGGTAGGGCTCGGATTGGCTGGCTATCGGCCGGAAAACGAAGTAGGTAAGGGTATATTCTAATAAGATCTACTAAGTAATAAGGATGTGTCCGCTCGAGCGGCCTGCGCTTTCTGGGGCCGCAGCTCGTCGGGAGGTGTCTTGTGCGCGCCGGACCCCTCGTGCAGAGAGCGGGCGGCGAGCCCCGCGGCGCGTCGTGCGGGACGGGCGTGGAGGCGACAGGCCTTCAGGCCCGGGCACTGTTGCCTCTGCGACACGCCTGTCGGGGGCCTCAAGACGGCGTGGTGATCCCACCGTCGGGTGAGTCGGACTTCTCATAGACTTTTCGTCGTTTTCGGTTTCTCGTCGTTTTCGGCGTCTGGAGGCCGTGCGCGGCCCCACAAGGCTCGCAAGACCGACACGGAGTGAAAACCTTGTGCGGATGGACACCGTCAGGGGTCTGGGGCTTTCTTTCGAACCGATTTTGGTCGGAGCGGGGACTTGGGGTGAGCGCGCGGATTTGAGACTGGGGCCGTTCTCCGAGGACGCCTCGGGTGCCTGCGGCCTCCGAGGTCCCAAAACCGTGCGGTGATGGACCGCGCGGTGAGGTCTTAAAGGTTTCGACGTCGCCGCACGGTCTGTCACCACCAGCGCCATCATTTCGGGGGGAAGAGAAGCGGCACCACCACCACCACCACCAGGGGGGGAACCTCCAGCGAGGAGGTCCACGATGCCTCCTCGAGCTGGGGATGGGGGATGTCTCGAGCGAGAGGGGGGACCAGACCACCAGGGGGGCCCCCCTTGGCTCCTCGCGCTGGTGGTCCCTGGTGGTGGTGGTGTCGGTTTCCTCTGTTCCTACACACTGTTTTGGGATCACCAAGGTTGGATGTGTGGTGGTTCTCTCTGCGCCCACTGCGCAAGCCGCACGTGCGGTGGCGCGCTGGCGTCGGCAGGCGGCCGGCTTCTGTGTGACGGCGTCCTTGCATGGCGACGCGCGCCCAGATCAGAATCGCCTTTTTTCAACCACGCACTTTTCAAGGCTGCTCCGATGAAAGGGTCAGTCGGCAGCAGGCAGGGTCAGGCGTTGGCTGTCGCCCATCAGGTGTTGCAGGCACTGCACCCTTCTCTCCTCTTCTGCTCGCTTTCCTTGGGATAGGCTTCCATCTCGTGGGGTTTTTGGAAAAGGCGGGACGAGGCGAAGAGTGGCGACAGTTGCACATGTGGCAGCCCCAGGGCGACGACGACGCCGACGGCGACGACGACGACGGCGACGACGACGACAACGACAACGACCATGCTGATGACGATGATGACGATGACGACGACGACGGCGGGGCGGCCGACCAACCGGAAAGTTCGAACTTTCCGGTCGGTCGTCCGCCCGGCCGTCGACCGTGATAATGACGATGATGACGATGACGACGATGACGGCGGGGCGGCCGACTAAGCGGAAAGTTTGAACTTTCCGGTCGGTCGTCCGCCCGGCCGTCGACCACGACGACGATAATGATGATGACGACGACGACGGCGGGCGGCCGACTAACCGGCTAGATCGAATTTTTTGGTCGGTCGTCCGCCCGGGTGTCGACCATGATGATGACGATGATGACGATGACGACGACGACGTCGGGGCGGCCGACCAACCGGGAAGTTCGAACATTCCGATCGGTCGTCCGCCCGGCCGTCGAACATGATGATGACGATGATGACGATGATGACGATGACGACGACGACGGCTGGGAGGCCGACCGACCGGAAAGTTCGATTTTTCCCGTCGGTCGTCCGCCCGGGCGTCGACCATGATGACGATGATGACGATGACGACGACGACGGCGGGGCTGATATATGCCCCCCTCCCAACCGTCTAGTGGTAGATTTGCCTCCCCATCCGTCCTGTGGTATATTCCCCCCCTTCCAACTGTCTAGTGGGACATTTGATCTCCCCAAGCCCCCCGACCGTCTAGTGGTATATTTGTCCCCCCCCCCGCCGTCTAGTGGTATATGTGCCCCTCCAACCGTCTAGTGGTTTATTTGCTCCCTCATGGTCGTGCTCTGGGGGGAGAAAAAGAAAAACGCTCTATAGCTCTCAGCTTTTTTGCCCTATAGCCTTATAGCTCTATAACCCTATAGTTCTGTAGCCCGGCGGTATCCAACCGTCTAGTGGTATATTTGCCCCTCCCCAAGCCTCCCAGCCGTCTAGTGGTATATTTGCTCCTCCCCTCGAATCGTCTAGTGGTATATTTGGCCTTTCAACCGTCTAGTCGTATATTTGCGGTCCGAGCTTGCTGCACGGTGAACCAGCAAATATCAGCAGGGGTGGCAGTTCCCATAACCCCTTTGGAAAAAAAAAACACCCCCTAGACCACCCAAACCCACCCTAACCCAGCGTAACCCGCCTTAACCAGGAGAGGTTTTCTGTGCAAAAAAACACCCTCTAACCCTCTCTAACCCACCCTAACGCGCCCTAGCCCACCCTCAGGGTGGGTTAGGGGGTGTTGGGAAGGGTTTTCTGAGCAAAAACACTTCCGAACCCACCCTGACCCACCCTCAGGGTGGGCTAGGGTGCGTTAGGCTGGGTTTTTCTGGGCAAACAAACTCCCTATCTCACCCTAACCCGCCCTAACCCACATTCAGAGTGGGGTAAGGAGTGTTAGGATTGATTTTTCTCTGCAAAAACACCACCTAACCCACCGTAGCCCCTAATCCAGCCTAACCCGCCCTCAGGGCGGGTTAGAGGGTGTCAGGAGGAGCTTTCTGGGCAAAGACACACCGTAACCCACCCTAACCCACCTTGACCCATCCCCAGGGTGGGTTAGGGGGTGTCAGGAGGGGTTGCCTGTGCAAAAAAAAAACACCCTTACCCACCCGAACCCACCCTAACCCACGTCTCCACCCGTACAAAGGTGGGGTCACAGTTGATCTGTCGACTTTGCCCCATCCATGGAGGGAAGGTTGGTTTTGACGGTGACTGTGGGGAGGGATCTGTCTGCCCTGAGCGGCCAAGCTCTGTTGCTCCTTCCTCCCCAGTGGAGAGAAGGCATGCCACCGTCGTGGCTAAGCGCCGACAGGACGGATCTGACAGTTCAGACTAGTGTGCCCAATATATATTGCCCAGACTTGTCTTACTTTCTATCTGCGCGGCCCGATGCGACTGACCCTTCGGCAGGCAACCGTGCATTACCCCACATCTGGGGTGAGGCTCCCGTCGTCCTGGCGCTTCCTGCACCAGGGACGGGGGCCTCGCCGTCCTTTTGTGGGTGGTCGACCTTTCCTTTTGTTTATTTCTGCACGGCCCGATGCGACTGACCCTTCGGCAGGCATCCGTGCAACACTCCACATCTGGGGTGAGGCCGACGGCCGTCCTGGCGCCCCCAGCACCAGGGGCGGTTTGCCTCGCCGTCCTTTTGTGGGTGGTCGTGTGTTTTGTTCTAACCTTCTCGCTCTTGTGCACGCGCTGTCGTGTGTGTGCGCGTTTCGTTGCACGAGTATCAGGCACCCCGCCTCAGGGGGAAGGCGCGCTTTTCTTTTTGTTTGACTCGGGATGTCCTCCCTGGAGTCTTCGGTTGGTGTTGGGTGCCTGGATTGCGCAGCTCTCGGCTCCCGCACCGTGGCCCTTCGTTCTTCCTCCCGCGCCTGCCTCGTGTGCGCGTTCGTCCGTGCGCACGCGTGCCAGGCACCCCGACTCAGGGGGAAGGAGTGCAACGACTTGGTCCTTTTTCGTTCCGCCACGTGGGGCTGTCCGCCCCTCGTCCCTCGGCCCTGTATAGCGAGGGCTGGTGGTAGCAAGCTTCCGTCTGCAGTCGCCTGCAGTCGGCCTGGCCCAGCCTAATTCTGGCAGGGCCTTTCACGCTTGCTCTGCTCATGGCTGGTCCTGAGCAATTTTTGCCCCAGTCTTTGGGGTCCTTGACCGTTGATGTCAAAAAACCCACCCTAACCCACCCTAACCCACCCTCAGGGTGGGTTCGGGGGTGTTAGGAGCGGTTCTCTTAACAAAAAAACACCACCGAACCCACCCTAACCCACCCTAACCCACCCCAACCCACCCTCAGGGTGGGTTCGGGTGTGTTAGGAAGCGGTTTTCTGTGCAAAAACACCGCCTAACCCACCCTAGCCCGCCCTAACCCACCCTCAGGATGGGTTAGGGGGTGTTAGGATGGGTTTTCTATACAAGAACACATCCTTACCCACCCTAATCCACCCTAACCCATCCTAACCCGCTCTCATGGTGGGTTCGGGGGTGTTAGGAGGGTATTTCGTATCAAAAAAACACAACCCAACCCACCCTAGCCCACCCTAATCCATCCCAACCCACCCTAACCCACCCTCAGGGTGGGTTGGGGGGTGTTGGGAAGGGGTTTTCTTGGCAAACACACTCCCGAACCCACCCTAACCCAGCCTAACCCACCCTAACCCACCCTCAGGGTGGGTTCGGTGGTGTTAGGAGGGGCTTCCATTGCAAAAACATATCCTAACCCACCCTAACCCACCCTCACCCACCCTAACCCACCCTCAGGGTGGGCTCGGGAGTGTTAAGAGGGGTTCTCTTGGCAAAAACGCTCTCTAACCCACCCTGGCCCACCCCAGCCCACCCTAACCCACCCTCAGGGTGGGTTCGGGGGTATTCGGAGCGGTTTTCTGGGCAAAAAAGCACACCCTAAGGGGGTGTTAGGAGAGGTTTTCTGGGCAAGCAAGCACCCCCGAACCCAACCCAACCCATCCTAACCCATCCTAACCCTGAGTGTGGGCTAGTGGGTGTTAGGAAGGGTGTGCTTGGCAAAAACGCACCCTAACCCACCTTAACCCGCCCTAACCCACCCTCAGGGTGGGTTAGGGGGTGTTGGGAAGGGTTGTCATGGCAAAACCACTCCCTAACTTACCCTAACCCATCCTAGCCCATCCTAACCCGCCGCAGGGTTGGTTAGGGGGTGTTCGGAGGGGGTTTCTTGGCAAAAGCACACCCTGACCCACCCTAGCCCCCTCGAACCCACCCTCACCCACCCCCGAGGTTGGTTAGGGGGTGTTAGGAAATGTTTTCTTGGCAAAAACACACCCTAACCTATCATAACCCACCCGAACCCGCGCACTACGAATACACCTGCCTCTCCCAGACCCCCCCGTCGTGAGTATGGTCTCGCAGTGCGCATCCCCGCGGTTGCCAGGACCATCCTGTCATCTTGATTTGTCTTCTGCCTGCTTCTTCTGCTCTGTATGTTGCTCCTCCTCCTTCTTCCCCTCCTTCTCCTCTGTTCCTATTCCTCCTGTCATCGTTTCTCTTCGTTTTCGTCTCCTTCTCGTCCTCCTCTTCCTTTTCTCGACTTCCTCTCATCCCTACTTCTCTTTGTCGTTGTCGCGGCGGTCTTGTCAGGTTTCCTCGTGCAAACGGCTGGGCGCAGCTCGAAGATGCGCCGAGCGGATTTGCGCGGGAGGTCATCTGGCCAACCGGCAGGTGTAGGGTATAAACAGCTAGGTGCTTCTTCGCGCCCGCCGACAGGTGTAGGGTATAAACAGCTAGGTGCATCTTCGCGCCCGGGGAGGGGCCACACTTTGTTGCCCTCTCCTCCTCCCAGCACCACCTATCCCACATCGTGGGATGGTATATTCCGAATTCCTGTAAGATTGGAAAAGCGTCCCGACAGGAACCGGCAGGTGTCGTCGTCGTCGTCGTCGTCGTCGTCCCAATCGGCCCTGTCTTGACATATACAGGAGTATGCATTTTTAGGCACGTTCCATGGGAATATTTGTAATTATGGATATCAATGCAGTTTCCCGTATAATTCTAGGTAAGGGCACAACGGGTCCCGTGGGCCACGGGGTTTGAATATATCTGAATACATGTTTGTTCGTATGTGTGTGTTTTTGGGCGAGGAACGGTGCTCGACGTTGCACCGGCGAAGGAGAGGGAAGAGGTGAGATTGGTGACGGGGGCGATGGAGAAGAACGAACGAGTGGATCGGTTGCGGGTCTGTACGGGGAACACAATGATGGATCAATTCGAACCGTGGTATTTCGGTGTGGCATTTGCGTTCATTTTCAAGTACTGTACAGGCATGCCCGACATGCCGGCTTTCTTGAAGCGTCCGCGGTATCGGCGTTCTGAAGAGGCCCCGCGGGTGGAGCTGCCGCTGTGGGTTCGCATCATGAGTCGTCGCGTAGAGAGCCAGTTG